AGAGAGAGAGAGAGAGAGAGAGAGAGAGAGAGAGAGAGAGAGAGAGAGAGAGAGAGAGAGATCGGCGCGTTATGAATATTTCCCTTCTATTTCTTTGTTTTTTTTCAATTCTTTTTTGTGTGAATAGTTTTTTTTTGGGTTTCCATTTGCCCGGTCCTCCAACTGCATCCGGGCGTTTGTTTGGGCACCCCCCGGACAGAAACAAGTTACAAGACTGAAAGTCAGGGCTTGTCCGTTGAGTCTGCCTAACTCCGGTGCCTCGGTAGGAATCTGGGTAGTAATTGTGGGGCTGATAGGATACTGCTTGTGCCTGACGTCCGAAGTTCCCCGGTGACAAGGCTCGTTCGTCTGTGCTTCAACTAGGGCTGGGAAGAGGTTAATAGCTGCTCCAGGCTTGTCCATGATCCACCTAAGCCTTGGGTAAGTTGGGCCAGTCCGGGCTTGTCCCATTAGAGCAAGCCTAGCCCTGGTGCCTGAAACTGCTATTCGGTCCAAGTCACGCTCTGAGATAATGAGGTGATAGTCCAAGGTGATTAACACTGAGGTAGGATTGTCGGAATAGGGGGTGCGCTGGGAGAATTGATGCGAGGATGGGTTTGGAGGCGGTCTCACAAATGGAATGAACAATTGTATCACTCAGATTTCGGTATGTTTTCCCAATCATAAAAGGGCTAGTTCAGAGTGTAAGATTTGGCGCCAAGTAGTCTGGTGAAGAGGCCCAATCCATAATGACAATTACATTGTAATGGGACGCTGGACGCGTTTTCCAGCAGGTGCAGCTCCCCACCAATAGATGGAGTGACTCAAACAGCTATATTTAGCAAGGGATGCTCGTATCACCCTGGCTAATATAGTCTGTAAATGTCTTAAAAAAAAAAAAAAAAAAAAAAGGACAGCCAATGGCTGGCTGATGTAGCGACCACGGTGTGTCTGGAACCTGGCCTCTACAACAACCTGGGCTTTTATGACGAAGAAAAAAATGAAAAAAATGAAAAAAAAATGAGAAGCACTGAAAAAAATAGTTAGTGATGATGATGACAGACTGTTTCGTCGGACTTGCACCGACTCATCAGAAGGAGGCTGAACCCTCGACAATCTGCGGAATCGCCATATCGATGGTTTAAACGGCCAGTACCTTTCCCATATATCAGCCGCGGGAAAAAATAGAGTAGAAGCGTGTCTAGTCGGACGAATTTGGGTGCTCCTCAAGTGGCCCGTTCGCTCATCGTTGTCCCGGCTTGTTAACCGCGGCGACTTTAGGAAGTACTGGTGGTATAAGTGATGAAC